TGCCTGTATCATCCAGATAAAGTGTGCATAAAATACGTCATTTTAGAAAATGCTTGCGAAAGGAGAGGGTTTCAAACCAAAGTTGCCGTTCCTGAGTGTTTCACACGTGTTCCTGGACTCCATGATAAAGAAGAGATCAAACTCCGTGAACACGGGACCTCAACTGCGCACAAAACCTACGGAAACTACACTTCAAAGGAAGAGGAAGTATTATAGTGAATTACAACTCGAATTAGTACTAGACTGATTTTGTTTTTGATGTTAGATTTTCTTCCTTCTCTGCTTCTGTACACCGAGTCTGTGAGAATAAGGACAGCCTGCCTCTGATATTTGTACCAAAACTGGCCCATGGGGTAGTACAAAGGTTAACTCCTGGCCCTGCAGTGAGGAAAATGCATGACTGTTATTGTAGACACCCAGCCACTCTCCTCCTCTTTCATCTGTTTCCATATCTCCCTTCATCCTCCACTTAACCCAAACAGCTCAGGAAGTCTTCCCAGGATGTCACTAATCGTGATCTGTTCCTAAAAAGGGAACATCAATTCCCACCCAGAAAAAACAACTGCAGCATTAACATTCGCCACACATAAAGATTGTAGCCATTCCGGGGCTGTCCCTAGGCATGGACTAGTGGGGTCCAAACTGGGGCACATGCTGTGCCAAAAAACCTAGATGCACACCTTGCACCCTACCCAAGAGAAGCAGAGTTAGCAGCTCAGTGACCCCCCAGGAGCCAAATCAGGACAACAGGTGCTAAAGTCAGGAATCTGCAGTGCAAACGAGGAGACAGGATGTGACACGAGGTTGACTATGGGAGGGGCTGGCTTGACTGTTGGAGGCAGCAAGACCCTTAGCCTCTCTGGGGTGTGGATGATTTTAAGAAGATGGATGTGTGTGTTCACTTCGGTGCTGCTGGGCAGTCTGGGAGCTCCATGTGGGATCCCACTCTGGCCCGGCCCCTGTGGTCAAGGTACCTCTTCCCAGAAGGGACACAGGGGCTGGTCACACATTGTGCCCCTTTGAAAGGCTCCCGATACCTACAGTGGATTCTCATTCTTACACCTCCCTCTGAGTCTGTGCTATGAATCTATTTCACAACATAGAAGCATCTATGCTTTGCTATGACTTGAGGATGTGTCTTAACCCCCGTATAAGTTAGTAAGATCCTTGAAGGAAACTCTTTTTGTCTTATTTATCTTTTTATTAATCCCAATCCCTACACAAACTGTATACTAACAACCACTGGCTGACTAAATGCACGCGACTCCCTTGAGTGAGATCCGAGGACTTGAACTCAGTTGCTAAGTGTCTTTCCAGCCGAGAGGAGAACTTTTAACTCAGATTCCATCTGGTTATGATCTTGAAGGATTCCAGATGAAATTTTCAGTGCTCCTTAAATAGGGGTATGTAGAGGGT